TTTTAAAAAAGGAACTAGCCTTTTCCAGGCTCTTGGTCAGTGCATGGGGAAAGTAAGCATGCAAATATTAGCCCTCAGTGCTCTCTTTTTGTCTCCACTGACCATCTGAGCCTGGAACAAGCCATTAGTGATGTGTCAAAGGTTGTTACCTTTTTCATTCTTCTCCTTTTTATTTGTTGTGTTGGAAGCTTTAGCGGTCTGCTTTTTGGTGGTGGTGTTCTTGGAAACTTGAATAGATAAGGTTCACAAGAGTTCAGTGCTTACATTGTCTCACATACTTAAAAAAGAAAACTTACTTCAGTTGATACAACTCACTGATGGTCTTTTAAGGCTCATTGTGTTTGAGAATGGTCTATTTCACAGTTGTCTGAGTGTAAAAGCTAAGGTTACCTTTAACACAAAAGAGACAAGGGATGTGGCAGGGTTAATATGACAAATTATTACTAAGAAAGGCACTCAACCACATTCTTGTTATTTTAAAAGTACATTCAAAGTACTTTATAAATATATTGGAAGTTAATTCTGAAATAAATCTGGAAATTAGTACTCTGTATCAACTACCCACAAAAGCATGACAATCTTCTTATGAATCCCTTGTACCACAGGCAAGATAACCAACTTAAGCCATTGTACAATTCATGTAAAACTTGCTTTTTGAAAGCTTTTGAGAGCATATATTGGAGCTCTAAGAGCATATCTTTCACATGGGTCCTGGTGTGAGAGGGAGCAGGAAGCTATGTGTACATGTAACACAAACATGCACTTAGTGTTACACCAGTTTGTTCCTCTTCTATCTTAAGGCTAAATTTCCAAAATAGTTAATTTTTCATTTGCAGCTCTTCTTAGGAACTATTAGAGACTGTAACTCATTCTTGATAAACAAGTGATTCATCAAAACCAAGTTGTCTCTCAGGGATAATATCCAATCACACAAGCCAGTAAGTCACGATATTTTTACTTTCTTGATATTCAACAAAACAGCCATAATTTGACAAATTTTGTTCACAAACTCTCAAGTTTTCCCTTCCCTTACTGGATGGATGTTTGATTACTTACCCTTCTTTTGGCTGTGTTTTGGTTCACTAGCCTTCCCTTTTTTATTGTTGACTGTTGGTACAGATGCATCTGGATTTTATATTCAGAAGTGTTAGAAAGAGCTGAGTTAGTAGACAATAATATAATTAAAAAACCTCTAAAGTTAGTGGATTACTCAAGGGGGACGAAAAAAAAATAAACAAATGAACAAACATAATACACCACTCTCAAAACCTTCAACCATTGTCAGTATAAAAAATATACATGAAATCAACAAAACTATATAAGGGAACCAGAACAGGGATCTTCTCTGACATAAAGCAAACAAGAATCTGCTAATACACTCAAGAAACGCAGGTATGTTGTTGAAAAAGATATGTAATTTAGTCACCTCCTACATCATTTCCCCAGTCACTGCTTTTTCCCAAAACTTGGGGTTCTGCATTTTTGGTGAATGTTTCTCCAAAGGAAACTGTAATTAAAAAGATATGTAAAAAAATAAATAAATAACAAAGCTAATACACTACTCTCAAAACCTTCAACTATAGTAGGTAAAAACTATACATAAAATGATTTTTTTTTAATTAAAAAAAACTATATAAGGAAATGCGGACAATGGTTGTCTCTGAAGTAAAGCAAACAAAAATCTGTAAACACACTCAAGAAATGCAGGTATATCATTGCTGGGTATATGTATATTAGTCACCTCCTGTATCATTCCCCCAGTCACTGCTTGCTTTCAAAACTTGAGGTTTTGCAGTGTTGGTGCCTGTTTCTTCAAACAAAACTGTAATTATAAAGATTTGTTTAAAAAAAACCAACCAAACAAACAAACAAACCTTATACATACTCTACTCTCAAAACCCTTCAACTCTCCTAAGTAGAAATTATACATGAAATAATGCTTTTTTGTTCAACAAAACTATATAAGGAAATGCGGACAGTGGTTGTCTCTGAAGTAAAGCAAACAAGAATCTGCAAACACACTCAAGAAACGCAGGTATATTATTGATGAGCATATGTATATTAGTCACCTCCTGTATCATTCCCCCATTCACTGCTTGTTTCCAAAACTTGAGGTTCTGCAATTTTGGTGAGTGTTTCTTGAAATGTGACTATAATTATAAAGATTTGTGAGAAAAAAAATAGACAAACCTAATACCAGACTCTCAAAACTTTCAATTATAGTAAGAAGAAACTATATGTGAAATCATGTTTTTTATTCAACAAAACTATATAGGGGAGCTGGACAGTGGTTGTCTCCGAAGAAAAGCAAACAAGAATCTGCAAATGCACTCAAGAAATGCAGGTATATTATTGATAAGTATATGTATATTAGTCACTTCTAATATCATTCCCCCAATCACTGCTTGTTTTCAAAGATTGAGGCCTTGCAGTTTTTGTAAGTGTTTCTTGACAGGTAACTGTGATTATAAAGATTTGTGATAGTTAGGGCAAAACTGGTACCAGT